GCTAATCACGCCTTCATGCCATATATATCAAGAATAAGGAAAAATAGACACTTTATCACGAGTTTATCATGTTTCTAAATATCGGAATTTTCCGAGGATTCGGAAAATAAAATCGTACGAAGCACAGCGTTTTCAGATATGAATATGATATTTAATTAGTATAACAAGAAGTATGACATGAAATGAAGGCAGATTTAAATTTTATGCGTATTTACACACGCACTCCATATCAATGCGCCTAAATAGCATTGAGAAAGCAAAAAAAAGCTTTTTTGTCTAATCTTTCTTGAACCGGGAGAGTATCCGAAACAGTATTTTACTTGCCATTACGTAATGTTTGTTTTTGCAGTGATGCATGTGTACGTACATATGTAGAACAGGAACTTTGGTAAGTTTTGGCCTCGCTTAGGCCTGGACATGAAATCTGGACGGCGTGTCGAGAGAATTACCTCGTGCTCACCACATTGTACTTAAAGGCATTACGCCGACTCCACCTAATGCGCCGCCTGCCTGCACCTCTTAGTGCAACAGCATACAAATAAAATCTATACCATATTTGCCACTTCTTTTTCGGTTTATCTACATATCTACTGACTTTCACATTTTTTTTTGGTTCTGAAACTTTTTTGGTCGAAAAATTCCACACCGCTCTATCGCACGTCCTGATACTTCCTTTGTCATTACTCCCAGAAAATTCAACGATGAAATTAATTTATCACATGACTATTAGCTCGTACTGATTATATACCGAAGTATACGAGAATATTTTTTCTTCGAACCTCGACTTTTTTTTTTTTTATTCAATTGCATAGAAAATTATCGAATTATAATATTTAAAATGCTTGGTCTACAACATCCTTCAGTTATCAGAGAGAACCGTTCAAACTCCTCGAATAGAAGTCACATAATCAACTCTTTGATTGAAGAATCTTGTAGGGATTCAAGGTACCCTCAGGATGCTCTCAGATGGATACCATTCGAAAGTTTTAAGAGTATCCAGTATTTTACCAAGGGTGAGTTTGCGGAGATCGCTCTAGCATTTCATAGAAGGAACGAATGTAATCAAATCCATGATTACGAGAAAAAAGAAATTCCTGACGATATTGCACTAAGATTTATCAAGAATTCCAGAATGGTTGATGAAAAGTTAGTTAATGAGGTAAGAATTTGTGCTTCAGTTCGAGGAAAAAAAAAAAAAAAAAAAAAAATCGCACTTGGTCACGTGACTTCAAAATCGGGAACCTTCTTTTCACGAAGCTACGTTTACTTCACCATAAACAGATAAGAACTCATCACAAATGCATGATGCACTCGCAAAATGTAATTCCTTTATACGGTCTAACTCAAGATCCACGAACATTGGATTACGCATTGGTGCTTAAACATGCCAGACACGGTGATCTGAGAAATTTCCTTAGAAGAAGCCTGACTTGGTCAGAAAAATTAAGCATGTTAATAAAAATCGCGAAGACACTAAAAGAAATTCACGAACTAAATCTGGTACATCGAGATTTTCATTGTAAAAATATTTTGGTGGATGATAACGATTTTCCTAGCAACAGTTACGAACTGTTTGTGAGCGATTTTGGATTGTGTATGGACGTTTCAAGTTCAAAAATCGGTGAGTCTCAACATTCATTATAAAGTTTTTTTTTGGCGACTAGGTCGTAATACCGGTGACCGACCTTTTTTTAAAAAAAAATTTTTTTTCAAATTTCTCTATTCACACGGAAAATAGATCTAAATGTAATCGAAGGAGTACTTCCATACATAGCCCCCGAAATACTCGTTGGTAGTAAATATTCGCCAAAGTCCGACATCTATAGCTTTGGCATGATTATGTGGGAACTTGTGTCTAATCAGTCACCTTATCAGGAGTATCAAGTTCACGATATTCGGCTTGCATTGGATATCATCAAAGGCGTAAGACCCGAGATTCCTGACGAAACTCCGGATGACTTCCG